TTCTGGGTCTGATCCTGTTGTAATAACTGCAATGGGTTCCAATTAAAACACGCAAAGGTCACCTAAACCTGCTTTGTTGATCAAAGAAGGATGCCGGGGAGAACCCCAGATCTGACGTGTATTACATTTACAGACATTGCTATTTTATAGACCTTCAAGATAACAGACATTATTCTGATTGGTACAAATTACAATCTTCTGTTTAATTGGTTTGATGCACATTCACTGATTTCATGTTTTATAGCATGTGATTGGTGGATTATGTGTGGTGGGAAATTTTAATAATAATAATAATAATAATAATAATATTAAAATTTCCCACCAACACATAATCCACCAATAATAATAATAATAATGGTTATTATATCTCCTGCAGGAGAAATAAAGCAGGGTATAACTAATTATTATTATTATTATTATTATTATTGTTATTGTTATTGTTATTATTATTATTATTAGTTATACCCTGCTTTATTTCTCCTGCAGAAGAGATAATAACCATTATTATTATTATTATTATTATTATTATTCCCTGCTTTATCTCTCCCACAGGGGACTCAATGTGGCTTAACATAAAAGCGTCAGCATACAATTTAAAATACACAAACATGCAAACATTAAAATAGGATTAAATATAAACAGTATTTTAAAATCCGATATTAAAAACTATTAAAACATGTTCAAAGTTTAACTTAATGCTTCTTAACTTAATGGTAATTTGTTTGCTGTGCTGGTGTTTATTCCCTTTCCAAACTGAGAAATGGGTATGGTTGAGGACAATGGTGTGCGGATGGACTATCTGGGTGGAGTGGCCCTTGGGTGGTTTTTAAGCAGAATCTGGATGGCCATCTGTCATGACAGGGGTTGGATTGGATGACCTTTGTGGTGTCTTCCAACTCGGTAAATTTCAGTAAATTTTATTATGGTCCAGAGACTCTTATTACATTGTAGCATAGAAGTTTGCTTTGTTGTTTGTACAGGTAATGAGATTAAGAACATCCAGTGGATAAAATTTGGACACAGTAAAAGCTGTTGGCTAAAAACAAGGGTAAAAAGCTACAAGAAGATCCGACATGTTTTAGCCTCAAGATATGCAGTCAAGAGATTAAGAACAAACTGTAGCTTGGGCACACAGATGGGTAAAATTAACAACAGGTAAAAATTGGTTAAAACACAAGTTGGCTAAAAACATAGGTAAAAGACTTTCAGCCTGTGTCTAAAATTGGGAAATGTCTAAGTTGGGCTGCCTCAGAAAGAAACTTGGCAACCGCCAAGGTCAAGTGAGGAAGGTTGTCACTAAGTAGAAACTTCACATATTTTTTTCTGAACTTGCTGGTAAATTCCTTAGTAGGGAATTGGTTATGTCTGCTCGGGCCTGCTCATAGAAACTGTATGACAGTAGAATGTGGTAGATGCAGTCTACTTCCTGTTTGTTACATGGGCAGAGTCTTTCATTGTATGAAGTACCTGTAAATCTCCCGCACAGCAATTCAGATGGGAGCACATTGCACCTTGCTTTGGAAAATAGGCAGCGGTATTTCAAGTTCTTTAGATAGTTTGCTGCATGAAAAGGTCCAACATAATGTATGGCCAGGGCACTAGGAGAGCAAGATACATAAGAGCGAGAGTTTAGCTCACAAAAGGCAATGTCCCACAGTCTCTGTTTGATTTATTTGAGAGCCATGTCAAAACCCAGATGAGTTAGGAGGGATGTGGAAAGGCCAATGGAGGCAGCTCTCTTAGAAATGATCTTAGACCAACTGCTTATGTACTCGTCCTGAGCTAAGTGGTGCATCAAGCCGGACCCTAAACTACAAACTCTGATCTTGAGCCGATATTTAAGTGCCCACCACCAGGCTCTTATTGACAAGGGTGCTTCACCGGATTCAAGTAGTAAGACACAGGATAGTACACACCTGGGGATCTGGAAAAGAGCCCTCAAGAACTGTGTTTGCTGTTGGTCTATATTTGATGTTAGGCCCCCAATCCAGATGCTGGAAGTGTATAGCAGCTGGGAAGCTATCTTAGCGTTAAAGACTCTGTTCTTTAGTAGCAGTAAAACTCAGAATGGCAGAACTGCTTACTTGAGCCTTGAGGGTAATGGAAACAGTATGAGTAGACCAAGACAGTCGGTGGTGAAAAAAAGCCCCAGATATTGGAAACTTCTGACCTGTTCTAGAGTATGCCCATCAAGAGACCAGCGGAAAATCTTTTTTCAAATTCCAGAACTGTGGATTTCGCATAGTTGATTTTTAGGTCGTTCTGGGAACAGTAGTTCAGGAATTTCCTTGGTAGGTGGTTTAGACCTGCCTTGGAGCGTGAGATGATGGCAGCACCATCTGCATAAAGCTTCTGGTTCCAAGCTTGGGTAAGTGACCATTGGGGTCCAGAAGGGTATCCTCCAACTCAATGAATCTATGATTCTAAATGGACAAATAATCTGAGCTGGTATAAGGCAGCTTCCTGACTACTGCAGAACACACAAGTTCTTCTTCAAATAGAACCCATTTGAGGCAGAAGAAGCTGAATGGCCACATGACCAAAGAAGACCAAACGCTGATGCTCCATTCAAGAGAGACTTGGCTTTTTCCATTAAAATTCTCATGAAATTGCACAGATATTATCATTCTTGTCTGACCTTGAGATTTGGTGACTTTAATGCATGTATTGCTGGAACACAATTGAGCTTACCAAGCAATCCACGCAGCATTCTGCATGACTGCCAATTCTTCTGCATTATTCATCATTTCCATATTCATGTCCATTGCAGAACTTTTATTCACTAGAAAAATTCTCAAAATGCTTGTCAAAAAGTATATTCACACTGTGTGTGAAACCAAATAATAATAATGTAATATGCTTTATTTATATTCTGCTCTATCTCCACGAGGGGACTCAGGGCGGATTATAGTGTGCACATATATGGCAAACATTCAATGCTGTTATACAATTAACAAAAACAGACAGTACATAAACAGAAGTCAAGGCTTCCTATCTTTTTCCACCTCCAGCATCTGGAGGCTTTGCTCAACTCTGGCCACAGGGTGATGCTGTCCTTCCATCTTCCATGCCATGGAGCTTTGTTGTCCTTAGACACTCTCGCAATAAAATCACAGGCATGTCCGCATACGCACCTTTTATTACCACCCCGTGGTACCTATTTATCTACTCACATTGCTGTTTTCAAACTGTTAGGTGAGCATAAGCTGGGCTGAAGGTTGGGAGCTCATCCCAATCTGGGCTTGAACTGTCGACCTTTCGATCGGCAAGATTTTCTGCAGCTGGCAGTTTAACTCACTGTATTATACCACTTCCTTCGAACTAGCATGCAAAACATCTCACTCACTTGGGATGGATGGATGCAGAACTCATCTCACTCACTTGGGATGGATCCATTAAAATTCTCATGAAATTGCACAGATATTATCATTCTTGTCTGCTTCATTATCTGCAATAGTCACATTTTTTCAATGCATAAATTCATTTCAATCCGTTTCCAAAATAATCTGCATGTGGGAGGTGTTTGTTCTTTAAAAAGCTAGCATTGGAAAAAAATCCTCAACACTGTATGAAAGGTGTGTTAAAGAAATAGAGATGAAGACTTAGTCGGAACAACAATAATTTTGTAAAAGAACTCCCTATACAATTATGTGAACCTGTTTTCTGCTGACTATCTGTGTTCCTTAGTTGCACGTATATCCTGACAATTCTTTCAGTGGGCTTCAAGTTTGTCATCCTTCACCACATTTTATCTGCACAGATTCAGCCCTCAGAGGTCGGTCAGGTTGAGAAACTAGAGACATCATCCCACCGAACATGTCAAGTGTTTGGAAATGTAGGTTTACCATACAGCACAAGCATACTCTATTTTGAAATTAAATGGATGGTTTTCCGACCGCCGTCACACACTAGCAAACTATCCACTTTATTCAGGAGTTCTCCGTTGATTTGCCCTCCCATTGTAGAGTTTCCTTGGCATTTTATTCGCTAAGGCAACCGAGGCTGTTTCAGTCCCAAGTTCCGGCCTAAAGCCAGACCGCACCGGATCCAGATAATCAGTTTCCTCCAAGAACACCTGGAGTTGCAAGACCACCACACGTTCCAGGACTTTGCCCAAAAAGGGGAGATTGGAAACTGACCAAAAGTTCAATTGAGGGCCCTTCAACACAGCCCTCTATCCCAGAATTTCAAGGCAGACTCCTTAGAAAAGTAATAAAAACTTATCCAGCCTCCATTGCAAGACTTAGCTGGTTCTCCTGGCCGGGGCTTCTAATGGAGGACGGGTAAGATTTTTTTGCTTTTCTAAGGGGTCTGGGGGCTGTGAGGGAGGGTTGTGGGTATTCCCACAGTTTACCAGGCTTATTTAGCCCGGTTAACTGTGGGAATACTGTCTGGACTGCAGTATTCTGCAGCCTGGAACCGGAAATAGTGGGTTTATCCTGCGCCTTCCAATTAATTAATTTTCCTGGTTTGTAGTGAATTAACATTCAGGACTGTCCAGAATGTTGTCTGGACAGCCCTTCCTTTATTGCAGGAGGTACCGCAATAAAGGTCCTGTCTGGACAGGCCCTCAGATATTCAAAGCAGATATAGTAGGATTTCCTGCCTTGATATTCTGAGATATAGGGCTGCGTGGAAGGGCCCTGAGTTGTTATATGGCAGTGTAGAAGGGGCTTAAGACATTTCCCTGCCTGGGACAACAAACAAGATGGCACATCCTTTATGGCTGATACCGACTGGACTGGCAACTGGAACATTCTTATGGGAAATCTTCCACGACACTCATAGATAGCAGGAAATGTTACATGACACAAAGTAAGTCAAATCATATACATCTCTTTCCAATTAACACCTTGCTGATGGCCAGCAACTGTGGTCTGAAAGGACTGCCTCACTGTGCAAAACAATAGAATCAGATGGTGACTCACAGTCAAAGCTTGTGCCACCAATACATTTCTCAATCTATACAATAAAGATGGCTGTTTGTGGTTCATACTCACCATGAGGAAGATCAGAAGTCAGATGAGGCAGAAGGTGACTCTGGATCAGCTCCCATTCAAACTCGTCCTCCGCACTTTGGGTGTATTCACAATTAGTCAAATCCTCATCTTCTTCAAATGTACAGCCAGCTGTGAGAAACAGGAAAGAGGCATCAACGTCTTTGCCTGTAAAGTCACATAGTCAATGAATTCCAACAGGTTTTACAAAAACCAACACATGGGATGCAATCCATAAACATTTTGCCAGTTTCTGAGTCTTCTCCAAGATTTCAAGTGTCACAGAACCACAGATCTCTATAATCAAAGAGCATCTAACACATCGACTACATCAACCTTCAATTTATATATATATAAATGCTCTGTGCATAATGAGTACCTTAAAAACCAAAAAACTATGGGGCCAAATGACCCCAAATTTAGCAACAAAACTCCTCACAATCCAAGGAGTGACCATCACTGAAAAAAATCCACAAAACATCTTTAAATTACAAAAAGGAAGAAGACAACACACCTCCCCTGCCCCCTCCCCCTCGCGCTGAGGACACAGAATGAGGGTTCTGAAGCAGCATGTCTCTTGGCCCCTAACTAACACTAAGGTTAAAACTTGTGCGCCAACTGCGCCCATACCTTGGGAAGTCTGACTTGGCCACGGTATTCCACGCTCTGGTTACATCCCGTCTAGACTACTGCAACGCTCTCTACGTGGGGTTGCCTTTGAAGACGGCTCGGAAGCTCCAGCTAGTCCAACGCTCGGCAGCCATGATACTAACAGGAGCGGAGCGCAGGGAGCATACATCTCCTCTGCTGCACCAGCTCCACTGGCTGCCGATTTGCTACCGGGCTCAATTCAAAGTGCTGGCGTTGGCCTATAAAGCCCTAAACGGTTCTGGCCCGAGTTACCTATCCGAACGTATCTCTGCCTATCAGCCCGCCAGGACCCTAAGATCTTCTGGGGAGGCCTTGCTCTCTATCCCGCCTGCTTCACAGGTGCGGTTGGCGGGGACGACAGACAGGGCCTTTTCTGTGGTGGCCCCCCGGCTGTGGAACGCCCTTCCTATGGAGGTAAGATTGGCCCCCTCGCTAATGGTGTTCCGAAGATTAAAAACTTGGATGTTTGAGCGGGCATTCGGTTAAACAGTGCAATCTATGTGATGATTACAGGAATGGAAATTTGGACGACGGATTGGATCACGACTCTAGTTATGAGATGCATTGTGTTGTCTATTATTGTGTCAATATTGTATATTATGCTTTTATGGTTTTAAATTGTATATCGTTGATTGATTCTTATCCTTGTTGTAAACCGCGTTGAGTCGCCTGTTGGGCTGAGAAACTGCGGTATACAAGTAAAGTAAATAAATAAATAAATAAATAAATAAGGCAAGGGATCAAAGGGCAGAGACTGAGGAGAAGGAGGAGGGGGAGGAGAGGGGGGAAGGAAAAAAGAGGTTGGGGAGGAAAAAAGAGGGAGGCGGGCCACACTCTGTGCACACACTCTGAATCTCTGTCTCCTACACACACACACTCCCACAGCCTAAAGGAAGGAGGAAGGTGCCATGAAGGGGGTAATAGGTACACACGAAACTGACATTGCTGGGAAAGGAGCCCCAAAGACCATCCAGCCCAACCTCATTTGGCATTAAAGGAAGACATAATTAAAGCCCTCACAATAGATGTCCAACCAGTTGGAAGGGAGCCCTAAAGGCCATCCAGTCCAACTCCCTCCTTCCCTCCCTCCTTCCTTCCCTTCCTCCCTTTCTCTACTTCCCTTCCTCCCTTTCTCTACTTCCCTTCCTTCTCCTACCTTTACTTCTTTCCCTCCCTCCCATCCCTCCTTCCTTTCCCTCCTTCCTCCCTTTCCTTTTTGATCACTCCTCCCTCCCTTTCCTTCCCTCCCTTCCCTTCCTCCCTTTCTTTCCTTCCATTTTCTCCTCCTCTAACCAGGGACTCTACCATGGTATTGGAGGAGAACACACAGGAAGGAAGGAGAGAAGAAAGGAGGGAGGGAAAAGGGAAGGAATAAAGGAGGGAAAGGGGGAAGGAAGGAAAGAGAGAAGGAGGGAAAGAAGGAAGGAAGGAGAGAAGGAAGGAAAGAAAGAGGTGCAAGTAGAAAAAAGGAAAGAAAAGGGGAGGGAAATGCAGGAAAGAGGTAAAGAAAGAAGGAAAGAAAAGGAAATAAAAAGTGAAAAAAGGAAGGAAACAGGGAGGGAAGAAAGGAGACGAAGAAGTAGAGAGAGGAGGAGGGAAAGAAGGAAAGAGAGAAGGGAGGATGAAACCAAAGAGCCAAAGAAGGAATGAAAGAAAGAGATAGAGAAGAAAGGAGAAGGGGAAGAAAGGGGGGGGGGGAGGAATAGGTAGGTACCTCTCTTTCATAATAGTCCAGATATCTACTTTGAAAATTCTTACTATAGGCCACAGCAACGTGTGGCAGGGCACAGCTAGTGTAATATAGAAAATCTTACACTAGAGCAGTAGTTCTCAACCTGGGGTCCCCAGATGTTTTTAGCCTACAACTCCCAGAAATCCCAGCCAGTTTACCAGCTGTTATGATTTCTGGGAGTTGAAGGCCAAAAACATCTGGGAACCCCTGGTTGAGAACCACTGCACTAGAGCATCTTCAAAAGAAAGTGCAATTGTACAAGTTTTGAATTCAAAGCTCTAAATGGCTTGGGACTTTGATACTTGAGGGAACAGTCCTCTCTCTTCATATGTGTCTGATCAAAGATTAAGGTGTGCTTGGGGCGGGGGAGAAATATCTATATTCCAACACTGAAACTAATAAACTATGTTTGGAAATGGGAGAGGAGGGTCTCCGTTGTGGCACACAACTCTGACATGCCCTCCCCTGGAGGCCCAACAGGCACCAAAACCCATGTCAACACTGCTAAAAACGTTTAAATCAAGCTTGACTTATTACTGAAGTTTCATCATGGATCCTGTATTCCAGGTTGCTGTGAGTTTTCCGGGCTGCCTGACCATGTTCCAAAAGCATCCTCTCCTTTCACCCACATCTATGGCAGGCATCCTCAGAGGTTGTGAGATCTGTTGGAAACCAGGCAAGTGGGGTCTATATCTATCTATCTATCTATCTATCTATCTATCTATCTATCTATCTATCTATCTATCTCCCTCCCTGTGGAATGATGTCCAGGGTGGGAGAAAGAACTCTTTATCTGTTGGAGGCAAGGGTGAATATTGTAATTGTCTATCTTCATTAGCATTGAATGGCCTTGCAGCTTCAAGGCCTGTCCGCTTCCTGCCTGGGGGAATCCTTTGTTGGGAGGTGTTAGCTAGCCCATGTTTCTTGCCAGGAATCCCCATTTTTGAGAGTTGCTCTTTATTTACTGATTTTAGAGTTGCCTCCAACATACAAGAGCTCTTTCTCCCACCCTGGACATCATTCCACAAATATATAAACTCCACTTGCCTAGTTTCCAACAGATCTCACAACCTCTGAGGATGCCTGCCATAGATGTGGGTGAAAGGAGAGAATACTTTTGGAACATGGACAGACAGACCAGAAAACTCACAGCAAACCAGTGATTCTGGCCATGAAAGCTTTTGGCAACACAGATCCTGTATTCGCCTGTTGTTTGACTTATTACTGAGGGGAGGGGTATAAATATTGAAATAACAATAATAATAATAATAATAATAATAATAATAATAGATAATATTTCTTATTATTATTATTATTCCATGTCAGGAGTGATTTGAGAAACTGCAAGTGGCTTCTGGTGAGAGAAAGTTGGACGTCTGCAAGGACGTTGCCCAGGGGACATTGCCTGGATGTTTTGATGTTTTACCATCCTCGTGGCAGGCTTCTCTCATGTCTCCGAACGGGAAGCTGGAGATGACAGAGGGAGCTCATCCATGCTTTCCCCAGATTAGGACCTCCGACATGTCAGTCTTCAGTCCTGCCGGCACAAGGGTTTAACCCATTGCGCCACTGGGTGCTCCTATAGATAATAATAGGCAATAGATAATGCCACGAATATAAAGTGACTTAAAAATGACTATAATAATAAATATAATAAGGTCAGGCAGAACTATAACTGTAAATATTTACCTTGCAGAGGAACATTCCAAGCCCTGCCTATTGCAGAGAATACCACATAAAACCTTCTGTTCCCACCCTCAGCATTTCCATAAGGTTTGAGCAAAGAAATTCTTGATTTCAGATGTTTGGAAAGAGTCACTGTTGCCTCTCTCCTCTTCATTCTATACTTTGATTCTGTCTCTCTTATGATGTCAGATAATGAAGACAAACAAAATTCAGACAAACTGTTTGAGGGGACCATCTCCAATGTCAGGCCATTTGCCATTCCCCAATATAATCTAACCGAGCAGCTGCTGCTAGCAGGGCAATGGATAAGGGGGATGTGGTGGAGAGACACACAACCTGTTTCAACATGAGTATTAACACTTTATGGGGATGGGGAGGGAAAGATAAATCTGAGTGAGTTGCTGTGAGATTTTTGGGCTGTATTATTATTATTATTATTATTATTACTACTACTACTACTACTAGCTGTACCCAGGGCCGTAGCCAGAAAAAATTTTTGGGAGGGGTTGAAATTTTCGGGGGGGGTTTGAAATTTTCGGGGGGGGGGGGGGGGTTGAAACCTGCCTCCTAGCTCACGCTGAAGCCAAGAGCACAGCAGAGGGCAGAGCAGCCTTCCATAGCCTGCAGCTCCGTCCCTGTCAACCACCTCCACCAAGTCTGGCCTCCTTAATGAGAACATTCAACACACACACACACAACTTGGTTGCTTCACTACATTGGCTATTGCTGCAAGTAATGACAGTGTGAATAAATTGTCAATATTTGCCTGAAATAGTGCTTGCAGTTCTGGAGGGACTCTTAATTTTTTGCATCTCATAGACTTGACATGGGGATTTGGTTAACCAGTTAAAATTAATGAGTAAACCAATTTTTTTAAAAAAAATCTGAAACATTTCGGGGGAGGGGGTTTGAACCCCTACCCCCCCCCCCCCCCCCCCTCGCTACAGGCCTGGTCATGGGAGTTCTATATGCCAGGTTTGATTCAATTCTCTTGTTGCTTCAGTTTTGAATGCTCTTTTGTTGCATGTGCAACTATAACTCACAATAGTCTGGGTCTATCTTT